TAAATATAGTTAAACAACAGTAGTCAAAGCTTCCCTGTACTGTTTGTAAGATGTTACAAACAATTACCCATATTATCCAAAAATTATGAGATGACAAATGATCTGTAAGGTGGCATATTCCATGGTATCGAAAATGGTATTGAATATCAATATTTTTCAAGGTATCGTATAAGTTGGAAGTTCCAGTAATGTAACAGTTAGAAATTACACCAGCCTCAGCATTAACACAATAACTTGACTATTCAGCGTGGATGATGCTGTCTACAGTGGTGACTAATATCTATGGAAAACCCTATGAAAAAAGTGTTACTAAAACACTTGACTTACTCAGACAAGCCCGGTGTCCTGCTTCTGGACTTTTCACAAAAATACATACACTATGGCGGCAAATCTTCTTCGGCCAAGTGTTTGTCCCGCGCCGGTGCAGGGTCGGCTTTTTGGCAGGCTTCTCTCCATTTATTCTGGTCCATAGTGTACTCTGGGGCAACTTACACATCCTTCATATCTTGCTTCATCCGGTCCATCCATCTCATCTTTGGACGGGTTAGGGTTAACGTGGGCCCCGTGGGCCAAGGCCAAGGCCGGGTGGGTCAAGGTGCATAGCTCTCTTCGCCATTATAGTTCTCATTGCTGCATGTTACATGGTCGTGCCAGCGGAGACAGGCCTCGAGCATCTTCTCCGTAATCTGCACTATTCCCATCCGCTTCCTGTCAATGTTCATGATGTGATCTACCAGCGGAGCATACGCATTTCCATGGTGTGTAGAAACTGGCCATGTTTGTCAGTCGCTGGCCAACATTCAGCTGTATACAGGGCAACAGGGCGAATAATGATCTTATAGATTTTGGACTTTAGGCAGATGGGCATTCGGCAATCGCATAGCACTCCCGTGACTTGGCGCCACTTTGACCAGGCGGCATTCACACGTTCGCGGACATCCGGGAGGGAGTATTGATCCAAGGTACTTTCTTTAGATCCGTTCCATCGATGCCAATAGTACCATCAGTCTGAGGGCTACACTCCAGGTACTCTGTCTTTGCGAGGTTGAGACGCAAGCCACTTGCATCCAGGCAATCTTTCCACTGCTGCCCTTGGTCTTGAAGGTCTTGCCTTCTAGGAACACATCATCACAGAGTAAGGACCATGGATGGGGCGTCTGGAGGTCCCATGTCATTGTGTCCATCCATGTGATGAAAAGCAACGGCAAAAGGGCCGATCCTTGGTGGACTCCTACTTTGATGTTGAAAGGAGATGATATCCCAGCTGTGCATCGAACCACGCTCCTGACGTCTTGGTATAAGTGTTGCACCCATTGTTGAACAAAATTAAACCCAGCAAATTATTAAAACCCAATCATCTTTTTTTTTGTAAGCGAAATAACCTAATAAGTGTATGGCATTGATTTGCCGCCAGACACACTCCTAAACAACCAAGGCAGGACTGGCCTTGGAAAAAAACATATACTTGCCCCATTTTAAGATTATACAAAACACACACTCACAGTTGCATGCACTGAGCTTTTCCACCCTGGTGCACTTCAGCTCCGTGAATAATTCAGCTGCACTAAAATAAAACCTGCCTCATCGCACAGACAGCAACAACAGATACACACACAAACACAGACCAACACAGACAAACACACACAGACCTAACTCTCAGAATACTTTACTGGTAACAGTTCCCAATCTGAGTTAAAAAAAATATATACAGTTCAATACAGTGCTCTATGGTTTATCAGGGCAGAGCTTAACCAGTGTGTATCAGCACATGTGTTATTGCTTGAATTGCATAAATATCCACCAACTAAATTATTAAAAACTACTCCATCTGTGGCCAAACTTTACTGCATCAAACAACTTACACCTACGTTTATACACAGCCAGTAGTTGTGGCCCTACAGTTGCGTAGTGTCGCAGTTTATGGAAGTGGATTGGGCAGTGTGTGAGTGTCAATTCCACTTCATGCTACCCTTTAACTCTAAAAAGTAAAGTTGAGCTTTTTCTCACTCTCGATCAAATGCTTTCTTTCTGCTGAAGGCTTTTACCCACATTTCAGTTTACATTAAGAGTCTGAGACAATGTGAGAAAAATGTGTAAAAAAACAAACAAAACATATGTATTCATCCATGTGTGCATTTTCTCATATCATGACCTTGATAGCCTCTGTGTAATTGACCCACTGCTTAATGAGTGGAAATACTTCAGCAATAAAAATCATTAATGGGAGCACTGATACAGTGATCAATACTGCTAATGGCAATCACAACAGACAAAAAGGGTGCCCAGTCCTTATCCATAGCTTATGCAGGGGCTTATTTTACTTTTTGTTAGAATGCAATGCCTAATACATAATTAATCATTATTAGAGTTCAGTTAAGACACTGCCTCTTCACCACAAAAAAAAAAAAGAAAAAAAACAACTCTTCTTTGTTCAGCCAGTCAAAACAAGTTTGCGCAACTTTGGGGTTTGATCATACAACCCCAAATCAAGAAAAGTTGGGACATTTTGTAAAATGCAATGAAATCTGTGATTTTTTAATTCTTTCAATGTTTTCATGGAACAACTTAACTGAATTTAGTATGCACGTTTTTTTTTTTTTTTTTTTTTTTGATGGCTGCAACACACTCCAAAAAAGTTGTGTACATGTTTACTACTGTGTCTCATCACCTTTCCTTTTAATTACACCATTTAATATTTTGGGAATTTGGGATACTAATTGTTGCAATTTTACGAGTGGATTATTTGCAAAATATCACCTGATAAGACAAAATCACCCACTGCGTTTGCACCCCCATTCTGTTACAGAGGCTTTCTTTTGTACCTGTCGCTGATGAAAGTCTGGATGGCCACTTTTGCCTTTGAGACTGAAAACTCAATGTCTGTTTTTCCCAAAAAACAGCTGAAAAGTGAACTCATCTGACCACAGCACACATTTCCACTGTGTTTTGGATCATCTGAGATGAGCTCGGGCACAAAGAACTCACCGGCATCTCTGCATAATACTGATGTATAGATTTCTCCTTGCGTAACAGATTCAAGTGGCATTTCTTGACGCAGCGTCAGACTGTGTTCAGTGAAAACTGTTTTTCAAAGTCCTCCTGAGTACATGTGGCTGTATTTAACAGAGCAGCATGATGGTTTCTCATGCAATGCCATGTGAGGACTAAAATGGTCAAGCACATTCAACAGAGGTCTACTGCATTGCACAGACTGAGATTGGTAGATGGTGAAAGACCTAAATGCGTTGCAATCTTCCATTGAGAAATGTTGTTTTTGAATTGACAATTCTCTCATGATATTTGGTACTAAGTGATGAGCTATGACCATCTTTGCCTGCAAAGACTGAGATGCTCCTTTTACACTCAATCACAATCCCCTCACCACTTCCAATTCACCTGCTTATTGTGGATGGTTTCAAAAGAGTTTAACTTGGATATTCTATAAGCTTTTCACTTATTTCCCTCTGTCCCATCTTTTTTAAGGTGTGTTGCAGCCCTCAAATATATAACAAAATACAATAAAGCTGTTCAGTGAAAATATTGGAAACCTTTCTTTATACTTTAATCAGTTAAAGTTGAAAGAGAATTAACAACTCACAGATTCTTGATTTTATCTTAAAATGTCCCAACCTTGAGTTGGGGTTGTACATGGAATGTTTAAGCAATAAAGCAAGTAAATTCAGGCATTTCATGACAAAATACATTCAAAGAAATGGTGTACATAGTGCATGTGGAAAGAAAGCAGTGCAAGAAATGCATTCAAAACAAGCTGTCCACAGAAACAAGCTGTTCTGAAGTTATGGTCTATTTGTGTGTGTATGCGCATTCATGAACACGTTTAAGAGACCCTCTGCAACTCTGACTCACTGAGCAAAAGATCTAATCAGAGTTATGACAGAGCATGCCTCAAGAACCAAAACACACACACATATACACATGCTATTACCATGGAAACTGACTGAAAAACACACTCTAATACTCAATTGTACATTTACTCAAGTTTACCTGCACTACTACTTGTGGATAATGCAAATGCATGATGACCATGTAACCTTTTGGTGGCAACCCAACTGTAAATAATCGTTATTTAATTTTCATGTGAGTCTGATGAATTTAAATGATTAAAAGTCAAGACTTCATCATTTGTACTCAATGAAACATGATGCACTCACAAAAGACTGCTGTGTGGGTACTGACGTGATACTTCACATGCAGTTGGAAAAGGATATGTGGACTGAGCTATGGGGCACAGAGAACATGTGGACTGACCCATTTTAACCCTTTTAATCCCACTGTTTCTAAAGACACCTGCTGATTTAATTTGCAAAGAGTGAATATTTATGTATTTATAAATAAACTATAAATTAAAGTGCAGACTGTTTAGATGTCATGTGAATATTTTACATGCTGTAAATAGACATATCCAGAGCCATTTCATTCTTGTTTTCCCATTTGAAAAAATATGTCTGTCAAAACTTCACAAAAGAAAGCAATACCTGTCCAGGCAACTAGCATATTTAGTACATATGTAGCCTAATGTATATTATTAATTCAATATAAAATTAGATCTATCGTCATGCTCATATAGGCTATACAAATTTAATTTCACCATTTATGACAAGAGGGAAAACAGTCCACTGACTGATTCACAATAGGCTATAGCGATGTATCAAAGTATTAATTATTCAATTAATTAAAGTTAAATAAAACATATTTATTACAGTTTCCTCATAGTTTCTTGTTATAAAATATATTTAAATGTTACAAAATAATGTGTTAAATTATTGTTCTCAGATGTCTTATGGGCAATTTTTGACCAGAAATTAAAAACCACGCTTTCACAACCATATTCAAAAACTTAAATAGAGATAAAAAAAATTAGCACTTTTAAGACTTCATCGTAACCATATAAAAGAGAGGTAAGACCGTGCGTTTTAATGATAATGCATTTGACTATTGAAAGTAACACACACCAATGGAAAAAAGAGCAGCTTGCTTACTCGCCACGGTGAGCGCGACAAACCAAAGTCCTGAAGCCATCGGAACTGCCATCTCATGAGCCTCCCCGTCCACACTTGCGTCAAATGACAGACAAAGATCGTGCCTTTTAAAGATCCATTTTCCCCGTACACTTCACGACAGTCCCTTCGAACAGATTGGGATACGCGACAATGAGGAATCCAGGCTTGTTATCCGCTCAGATTGGCTCTTCTTACGCCTGAAGAGTTGCCCTGTTCCTTTTCAGTGATAATCGCCAACAAACACGTGCGTAATAATAAAAGATCTTTGGGATTTTCTTTTCTGCATGCGAACTGACTCACGCGCTCTCGGCAGACTGTGCGCTTCTCTTGCGCTCGGGGCAGACTTGACATCCGCAAACGCAGTCAAGTCATGAACTTAGGAGATAACAAGGCTTCTAAAATTTAAATACATTTCACAATCCGTTTGTTTTCATCATATGTCCGATGTCATCGATTATAATGTCGTTTTAAATATTATTGCCAAGCATTTTAGGGAGAGCAAGTGTTGGTGGCCTGGTTAGGTAATATAAGTTATGGTAATTACAGACTCAACTGCACATGTTAAAGGGACTATAAATTGCCATGGTGTCTTGCATGGGCAATTGGCTAAGTGTGCGTCACGGGGGAGGAGAGTTTACTGGTTGTGTGTTCTGCACCATGAAGCATAAGACAACACTTCATTAAATAGCCTACATAGTTGGTTGTTCACTTTGAAACAAACTTAACAATATCATCTCTTTTTTTTTTTACTATATCTGCTAAAAAGGAACACCATAAAACCACAATGTCATACACATTCAGAGAGGAGTCAACAAGGCAGGCCTACTTGTATGTACAGTTTGTAACAAGTTTTATAAGTTGCAGGTCAAAACATTCGTTCAATATTTTTCACTGTTATTTTTGCCGTTTCATTCTGTATTTAATAATGGTTTTCTTTTTTAAATGTTGCTGAATTGCCTTTAATAGACTGTTTAATAGCAGGTTGTTATAGTAGCAACTTACCCTATGCAGAGTGACGCTATTCAACATGTCAAATTAACAGCATCATTTTGCTGGCCAATAACGAAGGAAATAGTCCCAAAAATTGCAGTCAAGACTTTAATATATGCCTCTACAGAAACCGACTTTCAAAAATAAACCTAAGAAATCACTGTAAAAAAGTGATTGCACAATTCTTGCCAGTCACTTTTTTGTGTCTCTGGTTAATTTTTGTCTTCATCCATAGACGAGAGCTTAGTGTCAAGTTCCGAATGCTTATTGCAATATTGCTCTTCAAAAGATAAATATATAGCTTGACAAGCATTGTTTCCTTAATTAACTTTCGATGAACTTAATTAACCATGAAAACCCCAATCACGCAGGCAAATTAATCTCTCACACATAAAATCTCACGGGGAAAGACATGACACAAAACGTTGCTAGTGGACCCTTGAAGCGAGATAAGCAAAGACCTGACGTCATCACGGGACAAAATAGGACTCCTGTTTTTCCACAAAGCCTGTGCAGTGTGAGAGAAATCAAGAAAGTATGGGACGAATGAGGGAAATTACAAGGGAGATTTGTTTGGAGCCAAAAGGAGGCTTTAAGACAGTGTTTATAATAAGTGCAAGGCCATGGGTCTCCAAAAATGAAAATTCTGTCCGTATTTACTGACCCTCATCTTGTTCCAAACCTCTATGTCTTTATTTGTTCTGCTATACACAAAGGAAGATATTTGGAAGAATGTTTTAATCAAACAGATCTCATTCCCCATTGACTACCATAGTAGGCCTATGTATTTTTTCCTATATGGTAGTCAATGGGGAATGAGATCTGTTTGATTAAAACATTCTTCCAAATATCTTCCTTTGTGTTCAGCCGAACAAATAAACACATAGAGGTTTGGAACAACATGAGGGTGAGTAAATACTGACAGAATTTTCATTTTTGGGTGAACTAACCCTTTAAACTCCCTAAGCCGTGCATGCATGCACAAACCATGCCCAAATGTTACAGCCATTAGTGTTTGGTAAATGGCTGTTAATTTAATTTAGTCTGAGGAAAGAGGATCTCACATAATGTTACCTGATACAAACAGAAATAATTAAATACACAAACAATGCACAGCCTTTCTTTTGTTTAAGGACATAATATCAGAGATGTATTTTCTGGGGCCGACGGTAATGCAAAGCTTCTCAAACAAGAACAAAAAATGTAGGGCCGGACTTGATTTTGTTATATGGGAATTGATTGGATCGTTGTGGTTTAATATTGCTGTGATATAATGTGACTGACAGGTTTTAAATCCATGTGTCTGCATACAGATAAATATACACAGACATATATTGCTCTTTACTGACTGTCTGCAGCACTGTGTGGTTAGCCATCCCTCTCATATGGGCTTTATGCATGGCGGTATTTCCGGTGAAGGTGTAATGATGCTCGATAACTTCCGCCGATCGTAGAGTCCAATGCAATACCAAGAATTTATATTGAATTTTATACTCCATGGTTATAAAGAAACGTTAGTCACAAAAACAGACAGCCTCGTTGTGTTTATGCTTCTTTTTAAAATTATATTAAATAAACATAACTATATTTAAAATTACATCTAACGTATTCAAGTTTCGTTTCAAAGATGGGAGGACAGTAAAGTTTGAAGATTCTGCCATAATCCCGTTTTCCTCGGTTTTCCTCCACTTCAATCTCCCCAACCGGAAACTGACGAGCATCCTTGCGTCGAATGCAGAACTTATGCGTGCATATAGCCCATTCTCCCATTGGAAGGTGTTTGGGGACTGAAGCAGACTGCAGTATAAAGATTTAAACGCTAACTGACATTAGCTCACCATTCTGATGCCTTAGGCTATGTTTACACATCAAAAGCACTCATCCATAAACTTTCAACATGTTCCAACTTCCAACACAGCATTTACTATACCACATATCCAAGATAAACCACTTTACTCTTCAGCATCTGTTGGCTGATGGTTACTCACTTCAGTCATCTGATCTGCAGCAGGTGAAATTTGCTCCATTCATTCTCTGCTTGGGCTGAAATACTAGCCAAACCCATCAGTCTGAGAGAAAAAAAAATCTATTTAAAATACATAGTATTAAAATAAAATTGCACACAAAACACAGTGTAAAAAATATTGTTGGTTTAAAGTTAATACAACGAAAGGAGATTAGTTTAATCTACGGAAACTTAAATATGTTAGCCTATCTGAACCACATTAATTATCCAAGTTGATTTGACAAAAGAACAAAAAAGTAGCTAATAAATCATGAAGATTTTTTACAGTGTCAGACATATGAAATAAACAAATAAATAATCGCTTACATATACAGACTTGCTTGATTGAAAATCGAACTGAAATTGGAGGCCTAGGCTACAATGATGCAGTTTAAAGTTCATTCCTCACTTTTAGTCAATCAACTGGATTTGCTAATTCAGCCAGGTGACAGAACTAATTAGTGAGATGATGAGTTTATGGGTGCAATATACAGTATATGGCAGGACTTTTACTCTTTGGCCCCTGGATTAACCACCTCTGATCACTATTCAATCAAAACAATCTTAGCAATTATTATTGCAAGAAATCCCATGCCTCTAACCCCTTTTGTAACAGGTCTATTTTAGCTGTGAGCTAAAACATACAACGTGTAAGATCTGCTAATAACCAAATCATGACAAGTGAATGTGACTTATTTAATTTGGAAGACTGTTGCAGGGAATTATGAAAGACACAGGGAAAAGAAAAATCTACCTAAAGCGTGATAAAACAACAAATGTGGATTTTTACGAAGAAGACGAATTTACCTTGTTGCACGGTCACATCATTGCGTGGCACATTCACGTCTTTGTCTTATAGCGTCATCTTGTGGCGAAACGTTGTTACACTGTCCCTGACCAAAACTTCCAACGAATTGAACGAAAGATGTTTTTTTGTGTCGTGCAGATGCATGCTTTGATTTTAAGCCCAACTTTAGTGGGAGAGTTAGCCTAACTAAAATCACTGAAACTTGTTAAAGAAAAGAAGTTGATTTCACCTTTGGATAAGCTCATTTGAAAATGGGCCATTTGTTTGTTTATTTGTTTGTTTGTTTGTTTGTTTGTTTGTTTGTTTGTTTGTTCGTCCTTTTACATAGCTCAACCGGATAGATTTCTATTTTAGATGTAGCATTCATTTTTAAAGAATTTGATTTTTAAAAAATAATTCCAATCAAATATTTAACATTAAATACTATACAAATAACAAAAAGACTACCTGCATTGATAAAACTCTTTTTGCTGCTGTTATGCGTATACTTTGTTTTATGTTCCACAATGACTATTTATTTTTTTAGTTTAGCCTACTTCTCCCTTTAGAGAATTTGGAATTTTTAACCAATTCATTTTGTTGAAAAATGTGCTTGTATTAGACTTTGAGTTACGCATTTCCAATTTGCAAGTAATTTAAGTATCAGAATCAATTCAAACGAAGTAAATGGGGAACAATTTTTTTTCTGCTATTTTTTTTTTATATATTTTTCTTTTATATATGGATGTCCATTTAAATGTTATATTTATAGCTTTCCCAGACTAGATCCCAGTCCTTTATCTTGGTAACGGGACTTCCTGTCGGGAAAAGACTACTGCACCATCACCCTTCAGTTCCTAAACAAAACTTTACCAACTCGCACGCAGTCTCGCACTCAATCCGCAACTTTTCCTCCAGCACTCTCCATCGAAAAATCCTGTCGCCAGCCAGATCCGCTTGGAAAACAAAAGCAGAAATGTCCCCTCCATCCGAACGTTTGCAAACAAAACCCGTGATAACGTGTCTGAAGACATTTCTCATCTCGTACAGTCTTATTTTCTGGGTGAGTTTGTGTTTTCATCAGCTTTGCGTTAGCTTGAGGCGGCTACATCTGCACAGCTAACTCACTCTGAACAATGGGCTCAGCCAACTAACAAGTCTTACTCTTGGTTTGGTCCTAATTTAGACTTTAACCACGTTTTTCTTTTACAAAAACAAGATGCAATTCTAAGTTTTAATTAGTTGTTTACCTACTTCTGATTAGCAAAAGACTTTGCATAAATCCCGTCGACAACCTTTTTATTGTTTACCGGCTTGTTTAAAATGGGTCGATTAATGTTATGTTTTTCCTGCATTTTACATTTTATATAGCAAAAGTTTAGAGTAAAACATGCATTAATGATACAAGTTATAGTTTATTCCAAAGGAACTATGAAACTTCAGCCTTTTAGTACTTTGGGAAGTAACGTTGACTCACAGCTGTTTTGATCGATGTTCAAATATATTGGATCTATTAAAATATTCAATAAATAAAACTGATACAAAAAATAGTTCATCAAATGGGTGCGAAGTAGTCCGATGCAGCAATTTTATCTCGACTATTTATTGCTAATCACGGTGATTTTTAGCAGGCAGGGGACAGATGGTCATGTTTATAACCTCCGCTGATAAAGGAAAGTAACGTTAGATAAAGAAAAGTAACTACAGTTGCTTACTGTCGAAAATGTAACACAGTTTTTATATGCATTATAAAACTGTACTTTATCCAA